TCCTGAACACGGCATTATCAGATTGTCTCAAAGATGTTATCTGTGTAAATTGTTTTGATTCTTTGACCCCAATGTTTTTGTTACACATACTCCACACGATGTCAGGAACTATCATTTGCAGAAAAGGGCTTGGAGAAGCCACTCAGTTCACGGTGCAGAAACATTGTTTACAAGTGTTCTAATGGGTCAGTTCCTCTCATGGGGACGACTTCCAGAGTACTAGTGGCCTCTCGAAAGTTCTGGCAGCATTTTGGCTTTAAATCCCAATATTTAGCTTCACGATCCTTTATGCTTTTAGGAACGGCAGTGGGATATTGGAGAATAAGTTTAAAGAACAGTCATTTTCATGACTCAAAGTTCTCCTTCTATGATATATTGCAAAGACCAGCAATTTTTTACGATTTTTAAATAATCTAATAATTTCTCCATTCTTGCACTAAAAGAAACTGTCGTCTCTCCTCCTTCCTTACCGTGATTTGAATTTGCTCATTCACCCCGAGAACAACACTTCTCTGTTAAAGCCACAGTGGGCTGGCTGCTATTCCTTACTTTCCAGTCTGGGGAAGGACTCAAAACCAACAATTCCTGAAAGCTCCTGCTAAAAGAAAATCAACTGGAAGAACCTCTATCTGCACACACTCTTCCTAATTCTCCCATCATTAGCTGCACTGAACAGCACTTGTCATGGTCACTCGTTCTCATATATTGATGATATCTAAAATACAGGATGGACTCTTCCCAAAAGTGTGGATTAAAAAGGTGAACTGGCCCAAATATTTCAGGGTACATTGACCAAACATTAAGTATGCAGGCAATGAGAACTAGGGATTGTCCAACCAATGCACCCACATAGCTGTCCTGATCCCTCCACAGGACCACATTCAAAACCATGCTGTGTTGCTTCAAGTGTCATAGCTTCCCCATTGTCCTCATTTCCATCCTCATCAAGGTCCTCATGGGAAGCACCTCTGTCGTTCATTCCTCTCCCTAGGCTTGCTTTCACATGCTGCTCACAAGGAAGCTTGGAGCGAGCAGAGAACTTCCTTGGAACCATTCAACATAACTGCCATCATTGTGGGACCCTGTTAGAAGCTATAGGCCGTAGAGAAGCATGTGCTGCCTCTTATCTTCCTTGTGCTGTGTCTTTAAACACTTGACAATTTTATTAAAGAGGAAGCACCCTCCCTCCCCACAATCTCCTTTTCTATTTTTCCAAACATCACATTTCTGAGATGGCCCTTGAGAACTCCTCATTAGTATTTCTTTTTTTTCTGAGAAAGATTCACCCTGAACGAATATCTGTTGCCAATCTTCCCCCCACCTCTTTTTTTCCTCCCCAAAGCCCCAGTACCTAGTTGTATATTCTAGTTGTAAGTCCTTCTAGTTCTTCTATGTGAGCTGCCACCACAGCATGGCTACTGACAGATGGGTGGTGTAGTTCTGCACCTGGGAACCAAACCCAGGCTGCTGAAACAGAGTGCACCAAACTTTAAGCACTAGGCCATCAGGGATGGCTCTCTTTAGTACACATTTGTACTTCAGTCCATTATATACAGTACTAAGATATTTTTGCTCATTGTGTTTTAAACTGGACATGGTAAGTATAATGTCTATGGGTAATGACAAAAATGGAAGAAACTTTTGTTTGATCTATAGTCTAATGACCATGAAGATCCCATTTTTATAAAATATAGCAAAATAAAGAGAACTCTTAAAGAAAACTAACTTAGAAAATAGAATGAATAGAATAGAGAGTCTAAATTCACATCATGGGGTAATAAATAAAATTTAGAACTTGATGCAAGTCAACCCAACACCACATCCCTTAAGATGTGGGACTCAAAGTCCGCTGGAGAAACGTCAATTCAAATACGCACAGAGCTTAAGACTCCAACTGCTTTTTTGTGTGTGATGTACAACATTATGAGAACATCTCTCATCACTGAAGTACTCTTGACGAAGAATTCAGCTGTTTGAACTGGTGACTCGGGCTCAATGGAAGGGCCTGGACTCTCATGGGGCTGGGCTGGCTGTAGACACTGTACGATTCTGACTCAGCTACTATGTGCCTCGGGATTAATGACTGAGACTGTAATGATAAAGCAAACGCTGTAAGGGAGGTCAGAGCTACGGGGTCGTGGGGCAAAAATAGCTGAGACTAACCCTGGGCAAAGGGACTTTGCTTCTTCCTACACTCTGAGAAGCTACCGTCTGATCAGAAGAGACATCACGGCTGCAGTCAAGAAGGACAGAATCTAATCTCTTTTTTCACAGCAACACCGAATGGCAGTGACCACACATTCTCCAAGAAGAGAAACTGAAGTGGTTGCAGCAAGAATATCATTTCTGTACTAAATCATAAGTTGTTGAAAATTCAGTCAAAACATGCTTTCATAACAGCAGTTTAAACTTCAATTCCAGAAAGAAAAGCTAATAATTTCCCTTATAAGCATTTTAAAAATCTCCAAAAAAAGATAATAGCTACTGTTTAAAATTATTTAATTTTATAGAATGAACTACAATTTATATTCATAGCAAAAGCATAAAATTTCCTAAATTAAAAGTCAAATGGAAGGATAATTGTCATCTTATCTACAAATAATATTTTTTTGTACCTGTTATCATGATCATACGTTAATTTGTAGATAATGTATAAGTATCAAATCATAAATCAACTTTCTTATGTGGGAAAAAAATACTAAGAGAAAAGAGTAGTCATTTCTCCTGGATCTTCCCACAGTTTGGAAGGATAGATAGGCTAGAGTCTAAGGTATTGCTAACTTAAAAATCTACACATTAGGCATGAAATTTATTAACTTTTGCATCTTACGCTTTAGTTTCTTAGAAGGCTCCCCACAACTAGAAGGCCTTCTCTTACTTTGAGCCAGGAGCACTTGCTACTTTTCACTTTGGTTACAAGAGCCCTTATTACACCACGCATCACTACCAGCCCAAGAACTAGCTCCAGGAGATGTCATCAAGTTTTCTACTTTGGGATGATCTAAATGCCCAATTAATAACATGCACCAGCTGTTTGCAGTGGGAGTTCCATAGGACAGTACTGGGTCTGTTGGCCGAGGTCTCAATGTTTAGATTCAACAGCATCAGAGTAACTTGCCAACACAAAGTACTTCCAGCTGTGTCACATGCTCCCTCCTCTGTACCCACGCTCTAGCTTGAGGTCCCTAATATTGACACCAATTCACACAAACTGTGCACAAAGGATCACCTTTTATTTCCCCTTTAAGGAATGTTGATGTAACACATTTATAGCTTTGAGGAGGAGGCAGGTGCATGCTCAAGCTCATGGAAAGGAATTCTGGTCGCAGGTGTCCACAAGCGCTGACTGTAAATCATAACGGAACATTCTGAGGAGGCCCCAGCCCGGCATAGACACGCTTAACAATTATCACTGAATATGGAAAAAACATACCCATGAAGTCAAACAGACACAATCGTAACCAAGTGATCAAGGTTAAAAGCACCAGAGATAAGCCACATTATATCATGTACCCCTTGATGTAATGCAATGAGAAGAACACCTCACTTTGTGGTGTTCTTTGCAAAAATCTAATGTTCCAGGATAGTCATAAGAAAATATCAGACAAACCCAAAATGAGGAACATTTTACACAACGCCAAACCAGAACTCTTTAAAGGTCTCAAGGTCATGAATGGCAAGGGAAGATTAAGCAATAGTCACAGACAAGGAGACGAGGGAGATGAAGATTAGATGCAGTACGGTAGGCTAGGCTGGACACTGACAGGAAAACAAGACATTAGTGGGAGAAACTCGTAAAACCCAAGTAAAGTCTGTAGTTTAGTTAATAGCACTGTACCAATGTTAATTATTTCTTAGTTTTGACAAATACATTGTGATTATGTAAGATGTTAACATTAGATGATACTGCTTGAGGAGCTATAGGAACTCTCTGTTCTATCTTTGCAACCTTTCCATAAATCTAAAATTATTCCAAAATAAAAAGTTATTTAAAAATACTATTAAAGTATTATTAAATGTTACCAAAGGCAAGAGACCAAGAAAAAGGAGGTATGTTAATCTCCTGAGATTCGTGGAAGATGTTGCAAATTTGGTACCTAAGACCTAAGATTCTTCTCTCCTTCCTTATAGGCAGCTGGAGGTAATTGAATAATATTGCTGGGGGCCGGCCCAGTGGCACAGCAGTTAAGTGCACACGCCGCTTTGGCGGCCCGGAGTTCACCGGTTCGGGTCCTGGGTGTGGACGTGGCACCACTTGGCACACCATGCTGTGGTAGGCGTCCCACATATAAAGTAGAGGAAGATGGGCATGGACATTAGCTCAGGGCAAGTCTTCCTCAGCAAAAAGAGGAGGATTGGCAGTAGTTAGCTCAGGACTAATCCTCCTCAAAAAAAAAAAAAACCACATGATAAGATAGATTTATCTAAGTAACAGCATTCAGCACCAAGACAGACTGTGGAAAAGGCAGACCCTTATCAACCACAGTCAACAGAACAAGGAAAAATGTTAGCATAAATCCAGTAAATGCAAACGCCTACGTTAATTACTAATACGTCTCACTTCGCTGAACGAGATAGCATGTTCGGAATCCGAGTCATTCGGCTCTGCATTGTCTCAGTGCAGCTGAGCAGCGAGTAGTGGAAGCTCACTTCGGTCTCCCAGGACAACCAAAAACACATGTGCTTGCCCGTTGTCTCAAGGTCTTCGTAAAGAAATGCAAACTCTATTTAAAACAGCACGAAGGCCCAGCGAATAGTGACACATATATTCAGACGGACGTTAAGATGACATTTTCCAGTTCAGCACCCTTTCACAACATAAATTCCTCCCGATTTTCACTGCATACCTTTTGCAGCTCAGAGGAGTGGTGCTTAACTACCTGAATTAGAACACTGACTTTCAGGATGGAGTAGGGAGCGTGAGAGCAGAACGTGAGAGCAGGCATATTAACACTGCCAAGGAGAACCTTCGAACCAGCTCACAGCCCCACCTCACTCACCTCGGACTCTGATGCACTGAGTCTTAGGACCTAGTTGGGGTGGGAGGAGGTGCAGGTTGTAGGGACTCAGTGATCCTGCTCCATAGACATCTTCCCCAATTTGGAACTCCTGGAATGAAGAAAAACATGTTTCTTTTCCATCAGATTTTTTTTTCTTTTTTGCTTGAGGAAGATTGGCCCTGAGCTAACATCTGTGCCAATCTCCCTCTATTTTGTACGTGGGGCGCTGCCTCAGCATGGCTGATGAATGGCATGTAGGTCCACGCCCAGGATCTGAACTGGAGAAGGAGAGCACACGAACTTAATCACTATGCCACCAGGCTGGCCTCTCTGTCAGATTTTTCAAAGGTGGACTCCTGAGAGAACAAATACAAAATACTCAGCAGAATAGTTGCAATGTTCCTGTGGAAGACTGAACCATGTTTCCTGAGCATTCTCCTTCACGCCTCTGTTATCTCAGAGCAGAAGTACTTCTTCCGACTTTCTCACTTGACTCTCACCTTCTAGGCAAGAGCACATCTTACAATACTGAATCGTACTAGAGGGATGATGCTGGAAATTTCTGGCAGATGGCTTCATGGAGTATTAATGCAAATGCAGAATTTAATATTATTGTCTAAACACAATGCTATGTATCCCCCCAAAATTTTCTTTTCTTCACATAATTTTACTCTTTCATTGAAATAAATTAATACATGCCTATGGTGTGCTGTATGATATCAACATTTGTCAGAAACGTTTAACCAATGTTATTCCATTCAATTGTGTAATTTGACTCTCAGGCTTCAAATCCTATTGCTTCAACTTCAAAAGTACGTTACAGTAGGGCTGGCCCAGTGGCACAGCAGTTAAGTTCACACATTCCACTTCAGTGGCCCAGGGTTTGCCAGTTCGGATCCTGGGTGTGGACCTATGCACCACTTGTCAATCCATACTGTGAAAGGCATCCCACATAAAATAGAGGAAGATGGGCACAGATGTTAGCTCGGGGCTAATCTTCCTCAAAAAAGAAAATCTTACATTCTACTTCTCCTCTATCTCTACTACTGGAGCGGCAGATCCAACTCATCACCGCTCATGAGAGCATCATTTTCAGACCACCCACCCAGCAGGCTATACAGTAGTCCCCCCTTATCCATGGTTTTGCTTTCCACAGTTTTAATTACCCATAGTCAAGCGTGGTCCAGAAGTAGATGCTCCTCCTTCTGATGCATCCCCAGGTCAGCAGCAGCCTAAAGCTACCTCACAATGCCTACATCATTCCCCTCACTTCATCTCATCACAGGAGCATTGTATCATCTCACATCATCGCAAGAAGAAGAAGGGCGAGAAGAGTCCAATAAGATATTTTGAGAGAGAGAGAGAGAGATCACATTCACAAAACCAGGATACGTTATAATTCTTCTATCTGATTATTAGTTACTGCTGTTAATCCTTAGTGTACCTAATTTAGAAATTAAACTTTATCATAGGCATGAACATATAGGAAAACACATCGTATATATAGGGTTTGGTAGTATCTGTGGTGTCAGGCATCCACTGGGGGTCTTGGAATGTATCCCCTACAGACAACGGGGGGACTACTGTGCCATAAGATGTCTTTAAATTCTTTGACAATCCTCCCCCAAACGTTGGAGGATCTCCTTGAGTGTTATCCGGATTTAGTGATTGGCTTCCAGTCAATAGAATGTGGCAGAGGAGATAGCGTTTCTCTGAAAAGCCATTTCCTCCTTGCTCTCTCTCTCTCAGGGTCTCGCTCTAGGCCTGTTGTCACAGCATTAGAACACTTAGGCAGCCCTGTAGGGAGGTCCACGTTGCAAGGAACTGAGGCATCCTGCCAACAGCCAACAAGGAGCTTTTGCCAACAGCCATGAGAGGGAGCCATCTAGGAAGGAGATTCTCCAGCCCTGTTAAGGCTTCAGACCCCTGCAGGCCCAGCCAACGTCTTGGCTGCATGAGATTCCCTCTGTTGGAACCACGGGTTAAGCTCCACCCAAATTCTTGGCCATAGAAACTGTGAGATAATAAATGTTTGTTGTTTTAAAAGTGGTGATGTTGTAAAGTAACTTATTCCACGGCAACAGATAGCCAAAACGCCTTGAGGAGAAAGCATAATTTGAGCTGGTTCTTGAAGGACCAATAGGAACACTTATTTTTATTCTTTTAGTAAAGGAGTCGGGGAAGGCATTCTAAGCATAATAGGTGGCATACGTGAAGTCACAGAAAGGCCTGATGTATTCAGGAATAGTTTTCAAAAGTCTAATGAGTTCACTGAGGCCAGAGAATACTAATACTACACACCGTGGGGAGTTGCGTGAATTGAGACTAAAGCTTGTGAAAGGTCTTTTGCAAAACTAGGAAGTTTAGACTTTGTCTTTACGGTCATGCAGGAGCAACGATAGATTTTAATCGAGTATAACATGATGAGATTTGGATTGAAGAGCAATAAATCTTACAGTACAGTAGTCCCCCCATTATCTGCGGGGGATATGTTCCAAGACCCCCAGTGGATGCCATACATCTAAACCCAGAGACCCCTAAAATTGGATTACTCAATCAATGATAGAGGGATAATGTACCAGGGAAAAATATGAGCAAACATTTTTATTATCTTCAAGTGGAAGAGGCCTTTCTGAGAATGACATAAAACCCCAAAGTCATAAGGAGGAAGAAACTGATAAATATGACTACTTAAATAGCAAAACATCTGGATAGAAGAAAAAGAGATTTAAACAAAAAGAAAACAAGCAAAAGATAAACATAGGGAAGTATTAGTAACATATGATAAACAAAAAACTAATTTATTTATTTATTTATTTATTATTTATTTTTTTTTGGCAAGTAAGATTGTCCCTGAGCTAACATCTGTGCCAGCCTTCCTCTATTTTGGATGTGCCACTGCAGCATGGCTTGATGAGTGGTGTGTAGGTCCATGCCCAGCATGCAAACCCGCTAACCCCACCAAAGTGGAGCACACGAACTTAACCACTACACCACCAGGCCGGCCCCTAATTTTTTTAATAAAGAGTTCTTATAATTAATAAGAAAAAAATGTACAGGTAAGCAAAGAGACTCCCATTTGAAGAAGGCAGAGAACATGCTCCAAACTCAACATACTGTAACAAATCCCAAAATATTATGAAATAATGTTTAAATTCTTAGCTTGCCCTTGAAAACACAAAGGAAACTCTCAGTGTACTGCAAACTGATAAACCCCTATACATGAGCTAGGATTAGATTTATTTACAAGTGTCAGAGATCCAAAGTAACAGTAGCATAAATGAAATTACTTATATATATATATTTCTCTCTCACATAAAAAGCCCACAGGTAGAGTCCAGGGATGGTATGGCAGCTCTACCAATGTCTTCAATATACCAAGTTCCCTTCAGCTCCCCGCTCTGCCATCTCCAGTGTGTGGCTGTCATCCTCATGGTCCAAGATGTGAGCCAGGTCTCCAGCCTTCACATCTGCTAAGCCGGAAGTGTCCAAAAAGCAATCATTGATTGAAGAAAGTTCCTAAAAACAACACATGCACTTCTGCTTACATCTCAGTGACCAGGGCTTAGTCAGAAGGCCATATCTGGGCAAAAGAGGTTTGGGAATACAGTCTTCACTTTGTACATCCAGATACCCAGTTAAAAATTCAGGGTCTCTATTACCACGAGAGAAGAGGAAGAATACATATTTGGAAATATCAGCAGCCTCTATATTCACTGAAAGTCAAAGATAAGATAGAAACAGATTGAAGAGAAGCCTTAGCCTAAAACATTACTGAAATTTAGAATGGAAACACACACAGACTGAGATCATTGGCACCAACTCACAATAATGGCCATATTCTATGGAAAATGTCCATTAGCTCTAGTTACTAAGCCTTGGAGCTGCCCCAGTTCTTTACCTTTCCATAATTTAGTTGACCACTTACTCTCTAGATTGTAAGATGTACCCCAATATCAAACCAATGAATGATGACAATTTTCTCTCCCTTAAATTAGCCAGTTTCTGCTGTTTACAACAAAAATAATCTCAACCAATATATCTAAAGATATTTATTCCAAAATCTTCACATAATTAAATGCATGTGCATACACACACACACACACACACACACACACACAGAGAAAGAGAGAACGATGAGAGTGTTTTTTGAGAAATCAGGAGGTTGGCCCAGTGGCACAGTGGTTAAGTGCGCATGTTCCGCTTTGGCAGCCTGGGGTCCTCCGGTTCAGATCCTGGGTGAGGACATGGCACTGCTCATCAAGCCATGCTGTGGTAGGCATCCCACATATAAAGTAGAGGAGGTTGGGCACGGATGTTAGCTCAGGGCCAGTCTTCCTCAGTGAAAAGAGGAGGATTGGCAGCAGATGTTAGCTCAGGGCTGATCTTCCTCAAAAAAAAAAAAGAGAAATCAAGACAGATTTGGTGGGGTAGTTTATTAGAATTCATCTACCTAAACAGAAAAAGGCGGATTTCTCTCCATCTCATTCCACCCCTCTGAACATCTCTTCAAGGGTTCAACAGAGCCTTTAAAATATCTAAGGATAATTCATTTTGAATTTCATGTTTTAAATGTCGATCTAATTATACTATTTCCCTACTTAAAACCCAGCATGAATCTCTATCATTTTTCAGGACAAAGTCCAAATTCCTTATCAAGACACAGAAATCTGTCTACATCCTGGCCTCTGCGTTGATCACCTTTCTCGTCTGTGTTCATCTGCACCACCTCTTAATCAACACAACTACTTGTTTAGAGCCGACAGTATGCCAGCCACTGTTCAAGAAGCTAGGAATACAGTCAGGGATGATATTTAAAATATCTAGTAACTAGTATAACGTTACATAGACCAATTAGAATGGATACTCAACCAGCAGACACCAGCTATAAACAACTGATAAAGCTTCGCCAGTGTGTATTATCAGGATATCGGCCTGAATACAGCAATAATTACACTGGAGCCCCCACCTGCAAAGAGTTTACATTTGTTCTAATAGGAAAGGAAACAATCAATAAAACATTACAAATTATTAAGAAAATTTCAAGTACAAGGGTATGAGGAAGATAAAATAGAGGAAATGTCATGTGAGGAGGTGACGTTTGAGTTGAGATCTGAATAAATAAGATGTAAGAAGTTGAAGGATGCCCCCCAAAAGACGATATGTCCATGTCCTAACTCCCAGGACCTGTGAATGTTGACCATCTTTGGAAAAAGGGTCTTTATAGATGTGATTAAGTTAGGATCTTGAGATAAGGAGGTCATTCTGAACTATCCAAGTGGGCCCTAAATCCAATGATACTTGTCCTCGTAAGAGAAAGGCAGATGGAGATTTGAGATGGAAAGGAGAAGATACAGATACACAGAGGAGGCGGTAACCTAAAGACAGAGGCAGAGATGGGAGTGACACGGCCACAAGTCAAGGGATGCTGAGAGCCATCAGAAGTTGGAAGACACAAAGAATGGATTCCCACTGTCCTGGTGAGCTCAGGCTGCCACAACTGGGTGGTTTAAACAACTCACATTTAGTTCTCAGAGTTCTGGAGGCTGGGAAATCCCAGATCAAGCAGCTGGCCAATTCAGTTCCCCAGGAGGGCTCTCTTCTCGGATTGCAGATGACCACCTTCTGTTGTTTTCAGTCACACAGTTCCTAGTAGTTCGTTACAGCAACCCTAGGAAACAAATACAGAAGGCAAGTATGCAAAAACCCACATTCTAATCCAAAGGGACAGGAAGCGAAAATTTCCAAGATCACCTATAGAGAATATACCACTTATCAAAAGGATATGAAAGAAGATTTGGGGTGAATATATCATGTTCATAAAGATGCCATTTTTCTCCAAAGTAGTCTATAAATCCAACGCTATTCCAATCAGTAGCCCAAAGATTTCTCATGGAACTTTATAGATTGATTTTAAAATTGATATGGAAGATCATAGCCAAGACAATTCTGAAAAATGAAAGAACAACAAGGTCAGGGCAGGCCCTGCGGCACAGCAGTTAAGTGTGCACGTTCCACTTCAGCGGTCCGGGGTCCACCAGTTCAGATCCCGGGTGCAGACATGGCACTGCTTGGCAAAAGCCATGCTGTGGTAGGCATCCCACATATAAAGTAGAGGAAGATGGGCATGGATGTTAGCTCAGGGCCAGTCTTCCTCAGCAAAAAGAGGAGGATTGGCAGTAGTTAGCGCAGGGCTAATCTTCCTCAAAAAAAAAAAAAAAAAAAGACAAGGTCTAATATTTGCTTAATTTGTATGTATTGTCTTATTATAAAGTTGTGGTAATTAAGAGAATATGATATTGCTGTAAGGATAGAGAAATAAATCAATAGAACTTAATTTCAAAGCCTAGAAATAGACCTACATTTATATAGATAGAGAGAAAAGTAAACAAATATATTATATATATATACACACATATTTGCAAAGTAAAGAAAGCTGGCATTTCAGATCAGAAGAACACAGAAAATTTATTAATAAACAGTGCAGGCACATACTCACATGCAAATAGATCCCTACCTTATAACATATATAAAAGTAAATTGCAAGTAGATTAAAAAACTAAATATAAAAAATCAAACTTTATAAATTTTAAAAGAAAATATTTAAAAATATCTTTATAACCTCAGAGTTGAAAAGATTTTCCTAAATAAGACCCCAAAATCCAGAACTGTAAAGAAAAACACTTTGTAAATTCAACTACTCCAAATATTTAAAGACAATATTAAAATAGTGAAATGAAAAGGCTCAGAGGAGAATTAATTTGGAATCCGTATAACTGACAAAGACTGAGCATCCAGAATATGTAAAGAACACCTACAAAACCAATAAGAAAAGACAACCAACTAAATGGAAAAATGAGAAAAGGACCAGATCATTTATAGAAACAAAAACCAAAATTGCTAATACATGTAGGAAAAGATGTTCAACCTTGCTGGTAATCATAGAAATGAAAATTAAAACTACAATGAGATATTTTAAATGCATAAGGTTTGGGGAAAAAAATTTAAAAGACTGATAATAACAAGTGTTTGTGAAAATGCAGAGGAATGAGAACTCTGATGAACAAGTGATGGGAGCACAGGTTGATACAAGCACTTTGGAAAACAGTTTGGAAGTGTGCAAAAGACATGTTTACCATAAAACCACAACATTCCACTTCTAAGAATGATACCAGCTCAACATAAGGTTGACATAAGGGAAGCCACATTGTAGAAAAGAAACCACATTGTAACTCTGAATGACCTCTGATTAACTAGCCCAGACGTGCTATGTAGACTTTGTGGCCCCTCCCAGCTGCTTTAAGATGATAACTTTGCTCTTTTGAGTTCTCCAGGAATGTGATGACCCCCAGGGCAGAGAGCCTATGCTGATAGCCATCATCAACGACAACCGAAAGATCAGGGTATAGAGAGTTGCTCCATTCTCTGCTGTATATCCAGTAAAACAAAGGACTATCAGGAACTGGGACCAGAGGTCTGTGCCCACCTGGAGAGAGATGGAGGCCCCACCCAGAGCCCAGCCACC